CAGAGGGCCCGGTGGCGCCAGTGTCCGGCAGCCTCGCCTCTGTCAGTGCGCCCCAGGGTGGCTGTGGCTACAATGTAGCTGCCATCACCAGTGTGTGAATGTGTGGATGACAGGTTGTGTAAAGTGCTTTGGGGTCCTTAGGGACTGAGTAAAGTCAGACCATTTACCATTTGATTAATATTATATTAATAAATGAAATGTATTTTATTACAAATTTGCAGTTGTGAACTTGAACTCTGTTTCAAATAATTAGCTTCAGTAAAGATTCAAGTTGCATCTATTTATATTTCTTATCACTTACTCTTCATCTCAAAGACAAGCATCTTTCAGACGTATTGTATATAAAAGAGACAAATATTGTTACGAGCTGTGATTGGCTCTTCGTTTTTGATAGAATAAAGAGTAGACTGATATCTTTAATATTCGTTTATTGGGTGAGAACATTATGCCATATCATAACTGCTTTAAGTCAAACAGAATAGATGAAAAATGAGCTATGAACAGACTGACTTCTGCTAAATGGGTCAAACTGGGCAGACAACACATCGTATTTTATAAGGATGTTAACAATATAGATCAACTTACTTCAAAATATGTAAAGCATATACACATCTACAGCAATATTATGCAACAACACAGCGATACTATCAATCCAAAATACTCCATGTTTCATATAACTGAAGAAAACACACTGACTTTCATTTTCAGGTACACTCTGGTGCTGATACAAACGTCAAGTTTCTGTATACAGAACTTTTTACTGTCTTTCATACTTTTTACTGGAAGTACACGAGTACTTTCCCCCACACTGAAAACACTTGAATGATAAAAGTATTTTCACATTACCCAATAAGACCCGAACTCCTTCATGGCATGTATCTTTTATTTTTCTTTGCCATTTGGGTTGATTGGGACCTGATGAATTTGAAAACAAAGAATTACCAGATTTTTATTTTTTATTTTATCTAATTTTTGTTTCTGAGAAACATGAGATCCACATTTGAAGACATTCATTTAAAATTTTGATAGTCACGAAGCGCGACCAGTTCTTCAAATTCGGGAAAAGGAGGAAGCACTTAAAGGGGCCTCGCTGTGACGTAATCGACCTTCACATGCGGCCTCCGAAGGACGCAGGGACACAGCCCTCCTGAGGATTACCCAGAATCCCTTGCTAATCCTAGTGGGTGCAGGGCGACATTAGACACTGGGTGGCGCTATTGTGCCAGGATGTAACCCTTTAAACTCTTACATGAGCATGTGTATTTTGCGCATTAGCGGCCTGGACTTCTGCCTGGAGTCACGTGACTTTTCATTGAAGGGGCACGTGCGCCGGAGCTTCAGCTTCAAACGGACCATCACGAGCAGGAAGCGGCTCCCATGGCCTCTCCACTGAAAGTGTGCATAGTCGGGTCTGGAAACTGGTAAGCTCTTATGATGCTGACGTTGTTGCCGGACGCGGTGCTGCAAACAGGTTGTTGCATCTGTCGGTGTGCGGAGTGTCGTTAGTGCCTACCTGGTTTGTAAGCGTCCTCCTGGAGTCAGCTACGAGGAGCTGGAACAGAGCTTCTTCAGCATAAGCACAGTGCTTTCCTGGTCGTGTTCCTTTTTAATTTCATATTAACTGGTGATGTTCGTTTAAGTGTTGCATGTTTCAGGTGACACATCCGGAAGTTTGCCTTTTTCCAACAGCTGTCCCCTCTGTCTGACATGATACAGGGCTCGCTGAAAACAACAGCTAGTCTGTAGTTAATATTGACACGTATATGAATTTCCATTCTGTTCTGACAGAAACACAAATTATTCTCAGCAAAAAAAAGTTAATTAGATGTTTTATTCCGCTAAAGCATAATAATGTGGTTCGGTGAGATAAATCTGAAGCCAACATTTACCCCTGTCACCAGCTGAGTGAAGGGACCTCGAGCTTACCTGCATCCGGGTCACTCTTTCAGCTGTTAATTTAAAATATGCGCACAAGTTCACTGGTGATGGTCAGCAGCCTGCTCCATAAACATGAAACTATGGCGTTATGTTGTGAGCCCTTCACAAACAAATAAAGAAATGTGCCATATGCTTCATGAGCACAGAGGGAGGGCGTGCTGGACATCAGTCCGCATAGAAACGGACCAAAACTTTAAGAAGCGGGTTTGTTTGATTTGTTTCCTGTAGGCTGTAAGTAAGTGTTGTTTATTTCAGCATGAAACACGCCGTAGTAAGTTCAGGGACTGATCCGTGTGGTAACTCGAGCTTCAGATGTGACTAAAGACTGAAAATGTCACCGTCACCAGTTCATACAAGCCTGAGTGCATGTCCATGTCAACATGACTACCGGTAACATTACAAAACGGTGTTTTCTTCAAAAATAAATATGTTTAATGAAGCCTGCTGATTGGATTTGTACAGAGTATTATAGTTCCCAGATTGATTATGACGCCACTGACAGCATACACTCACCACGCATGACCAGAGTTTCTCATTTGACTTGAGGATAAAAATGTCGTTTGTTTGTTTTTAATTGAAATGTAAGATGGTAAAAACAGTAACAGTGGGCTTAGTAACTCAGCTATGGCTGTCAGAGAGCCAGCATCTGCCAGAGTAGACTGATGTTGGGTCAGATTGTGCTTACACTGGGAAACAAAAGCAGAGTTTTGTTATTTTATTTTCCCCATAAACCTTAAAAGGCATCAGTGGCAGACTCTGCTATAAAATCAGTGAGCGTGTTACAGCCCATCAGCGTGGTGTTTAGTGAACAATAACCTTCCCTTTGTCATCTCTGGACTCTTAGTGCATGTTTTCACCTGTGCAACACCTCGATCAGAATCTGTTTTGTTTACATGAAGCAACAGTAGGATCGTGTTCCCGGACAAGAACACTAGCACACCTCCTTAATCCTTCGTATGCTTAATCACCTCTCACACCAACTCTCTTCCACTCGAAAAATTCACAAGAATGAAGCTAACGAAGTAGTTTAGGATGGTCCAATTGATTAGCTGACTGAATGATTAATTGATCAATGCCTTGAAACATCTAGAAATATTTGCTGATCTCTGTGACTTTGTTGCAGGGGCTCTGCTATTGCCAGGATTATCGGAGATAATGCCAGGACATTGCAGCATATTGCTACCACTGTGAAGATGTGGGTGTTTGAAGAAAATATTAATGGCAGGAAGCTTAGCGACATCATCAACACTGAGCATGAAAACGTTAAGTACCTTCCTGGATACAAACTACCAGAGAATGTGGTGAGAAGTAGTATGATGTCATTCTTTTGCTGAGCTCATTAAACTCTGCAGAGCACTAAAGCTGCACTATACTGCCAAAAGTATTCACTCACCCAAGTCATCGAATTCAGGTGTTCCAGTCACTTCCATCAAGAACCTAGGCATGTAGACTGCTTCTGCAAACATCATGGATCAGTGTGATGATGGGATGCAACAAGGCCGGTCATAAATATCCTCTTTATCAAATATTCCACAGTCAGCTTCTAGTGGTATTTTAACAAAGTCGAAGCCTACCACTCAGCCACAGAGTGGCTCACAGAGCAGGGTCAGCACATAGTGCACCGAGGTCACCGGCTTTCTGCTACAGGCCTCCAAACTTTATGTTGCCTTCAGATTAGCTGAAGAACAGTGCATAGAGTTCTTCATGGAATGGGTCGCCATGGATGCTGTATCCATCACCAAGCACAGTGCAAAGCATCCGGTGCAGTTGTGTAAAGCACGCTGACCTGAACTCTAGAGCAGTTCACTTCAGTCACAAATCGTGCAATGATGGACAAGCTGGCGTTTGGTGGCTGCCAGGAGAGCGATACGTGTCTGACTGCAGTGTCCATATCGACATGGTTGAGAGACTTTGGTGTGGAAGAACTCGACTAGAGTCCTCACCTCAATCTGACAGAACACCGCTGGGACAAATTAGAGTGGAGACTGCGAGCCAGGCCTTACATCAGTGTCTGACTTACAAACGCGCTTCAGGAAGGAGGTCAAGAATTTACGGAAGCTTGTTCCTGCCAGTAAAAAAGAAAAATGTATCCATAACTCGAAATCTTGAGTTACCTCTGCCAGTCAGTAATCTACATGAATGTCATTTTCTTGTTACTCGGAAGGATATGGCGCGCTCAAAACCGGAGCGCAACAAATTGGCGCCTGCGAGAGTTCGTTCGCTGATAGTGACGCCACGTGATTCAGCTAATAACACAAGGCTTTCATCATGTGTGAAGCCAGGCTGAAAATAGTCAGCAGTTTGTGCATTCATGACTGGCTGTAGTACTGGTAGCTTAGCATAGCATTTGTAGCTGAGGGTAACAAGGAAAAGACGGCATTCACGTAGCTTACTGATTGGTAGAGTTAACTCGAGATTTGGAGAAAATAAGCACACTACGAAACGTGGAGATCCTTCTCGTTAAAGCTGAAGCTGTTATCGTTGCAAAGGGTTGGATGACTTTCTATTAAACCCTTAGATTAAGACTGGGGTGTCACCCCAGTTCATGTATGGCTGAAGACAGACGAGTGAATATTTTTGGCAATATGGTGGAAGTGTGTAACACAGTACGGTGGGGAAATCACCCAGACTCGCAGGATTATTCAAAGCCTACTCAGCTTTGAATTGAATGGCGCTTCTGTCGTCTCCATAGGTGGCTGTACCAAAGCTCTCTGATGCCGCTATGGGAGCTGACCTGCTGGTGTTTGTCGTCCCTCATCAGTTCATTAGGAAGCTCTGTGATGAAATGGTGGGCTGTGTCTCTGCCAGAGCTCGAGGAATCACGCTCATAAAGGTAATGATGCCCATTTCACCGTCTCGCTATCTCACACTCCACTGCTGCTTTTAACTTTCCAAATTCTGCAGAGCAAAGACCTGACACAGGATCTGAGCCCTGCATACAAGCTCAGCTGAACATGCCCGGAGTATCTTTATGTGGATTTGCTTCTAACAGGATCCCTAATGATCAGGATAAGCGGTCACATAAAGCTGTTTTTTGGTTCATATTGCCAGTAAGTGTCTCCAGCCATCCACAAAACACAGCGAAGGTCTTTGGGGTAGTAAAGGTGTAAGGACATTTGGCACACAGACTGTAGTAGCCAGGGATCCGGTGATGTGCAGTATTCATTTTGTGATCAAATATGTCGACAAAGTGAGCGTGTGCGCTGAAGAGTGAGTTCGATGTTTGGATGCCTCTCTTCCACAGGGACCCCCCAACATTCTGATCCAAGCACTGTAAACAAAAACACACTAAACTCAGAGTCCAGTGTTTGTCTGTTTCAGTACTCATGACGCATTCATGGCTGTGTATTGCATTAGTACATATTTTGAGCACATATTTTGCAGGGCAGCCTGTAAGTGCTGCTGTCAACGCTTTGGCTGCACCCTGGAGCTACGTGGCAGGCAGGAAGAGCCACAATACAGCACTTGGAAAATGAGAAGTAAACTCACAAGCAGTCTTTTAATGTTACGCTTATACCAAGTACAAAATAATATAGATCAAGAACAAGGAAACCAAAACTACAGATCTTCTGTGAACCAGCGCTAAGAAGGGCAAACCAAGCGTCCCAGCAGGTCTCACTGCCTGTCTTGTCTGTCATACATCCCTCCTGGCACGTATCCACCTACTCCACCCTGCCTGCACTCTTCTTCACCTCTCTTTTGCACTTTTCCATGTGTCTCTTTCATTCGCATACACTAGTCATCACATGACCTGCAACACCTTCACCTACTTTCTGTCACGTAAGATCCCACAGTTCCTCTCTTGGTGCCTCATCTTTCTCTAGCTCCACAGGGTCACATCGCAGGCGTCCATCAGCGTACTCAAAGCAAACATCACGTCATGCTCTTTCTCTGCATGAAGCCACACTCCCCTTCACTGATCATCACCTTTAACCACTCTTTCCCATACCTCCATGGTATCTGTCTCAGGCTTTATCCCTCAGTAGTTACTACAGCTCTGCACATTACTCTGTTCTTAAAAACTGGTACCAGTGCACTTCTCCATTCCTCGGCCATCCCCTAACCAAACAGTACAATTTGAGTGTGTAACACTGTTGTTTCGAAGTCTTCGGTCTGTAGTTACAGGCTGTTTTGTAGCCTGTCCAAATTTGGCACGAGTGTCATTTTTTGCATTTGCCATCAACATGTGACTCATTTGGTGACACTGAGGTCTATTAACAAATTTCTAGGCACAATAAGGGGTGTAAACTAACGCATGGTGGAAGTAGATCACATCTGTGTGTTTTGTGGATGCTGTGGTCCTACTGGGCTCATCAAATGCTGATCTCCACAAACCCCCTATCATCAGTCAGAACTGGTACCTCAGAATCTCACATCATGGCTCTGAAGCTGAAAAGACTCCAGGTTAGAGAAGAATTGCTTCCTCTAGTCAAGAGCTCAAATATCTCTTGTTCACAAGTGGGTGAACAGGTGAGTGTGAGATGGACTGGTTCATCATCTGCAGTTATTTGGACTCTGTTTTGGTAGAGAGGGTGCTGGTGAATGCTGCAAGCTGTTGGTAGTGACTGGAAGAATCAGGCTACATCAGAAATTAGCTTCATTTCAAGGGCTTAGCCTTGGGGTGAAGAGGTCAGTCAGAAGGAACATATCAGGGGGAGGCTGGTTTCCTCCCTTGACTTTCTGCATGCATCCATCTACAGCATGGGTATAAGCAGCTGTGTCCTTTATGGCTCATCCTGTATGCCATCGCTCATCCACCACCGCCCCTCTCATTACTGTCTCAGGGTATATATGAGGGTCCAGAGGGCCTGAGGCTGATCTCTGACGTCATCCGTGAGAAGATGGAGATTGATGTCAGTGTCCTGATGGGAGCAAACATCGCCAACGAAGTAGCAGCTGAGAAGTTCTGTGAATCCACCATCGGTGAGTAGAATCCACGTGGAAAATGTTATTCAGTAGATTCTATTACTGCCTGCTGTAACTGTGGCATGTTGTGGATTTAAAAAGAACAAACGGGACCTGGAAGAGAAGAAATGTGTTTTGTTTTTTTGTCCCCTTGGCTTGATTGGATGGGAGTGTAGGGTCTCTGCCTGGTTTAGGAAGCAGACTCATACTGGCAGAGTTCATACTGGGAGATGGTGCGTGATCTGAATTTGAGTCAGCGTTCTGAATAAAGTGCGTGCTAGCATAGATCAAAATTGTGTAAAACTGAGCTGGAAAACCATGTGGAGCTGGAGCTGCTGTGGGCTTCATGGCATTCACACGTTGTGTAATAATGTAAGGACAACATCAGATGGATTCGTCATTAATACGTGTGAAGCTTCAGAAAAGTCTTTTAGAAGATGTATTTGTTGCGGATCATGAGTAATGTTCCCAGGCGAGTCTTTAGTTGTTTTTTCTTAACTTGGCTTTAACTGGTTAGCCTGGAATTTTCTGGATTTATTGCCATGTTCAAAGTTCTCCAAACGCAGCCTTTGCACCAGAAATCGTCTTTTTGTCACTTATTTCATTTAATTCCAGTTTCAGTTTTCTCAGATTGCTAACTATGTTATTGTGGTGAAGGTTTTTTTCATTATTTTTCTTGTTTTAATAGTAAAATATTATTCTGTTACTACTTTTCCTGCTTCCTTTAAACGCACAGTGATATTACTGGACGCTCAGTGTTTACACTGCCTGTTCTTTTGTGAGATAACTTCTTTAAGAATATCTGCTCATTGGTGGTGTAACTCCTTTGTGTCTCTGAGAGACAGACACCAGTCTGTGTCTGTGATATCCCTCATAATGGAGCTGCTAACTAAAAGTAGTCTAAGCAAGAATCTGAGTGCTGTTCTGGTGAAAAGAAGTCTCTGAGAGCTGAACGATGTAAAGCAAAGCATCACAAAGACCAAAGTTACTCATTTATTGTTCGAGCATGTCTGTAGACTCCCTGTTGACTGCTCGGGAGCCTCCTTGGGTGGATTGGGAACAGGACCTTGCCAACCAATAGCTCCAACAGCTCTGTGCTTCATTAGCAGGAAGCCAAGCCATGCATTAGCAATTAGGGATTAATCACCTATTCAAGGCTATTTTGAGAACTGATGAGCATAATGGTCAGTAATGTGATAAGACGGTTTCAAGTTTACCTGTTCAGATAAATTAGTAATTAGTGATCTGGCTTATTTGTATACTTGAGCCTAAACTCAGATTATACTTAGATTAGACTGATTTCCACATCTCCTGTCATTTGTCCGTCCATCCATCTTCTGGGGCCAGGTACAGTAGGCAGCAGCCTAAGCAGAGAAGCCCACACCTCCCTCTCCCCGGCCACCTCCTCCAGCTCGTCTGGGGGAACACCAAAGTGATCCCTGGCCAGCCGAGAGATATAATCTCTGCACAGTGTCCTGGGTCTGCCCCGGGTCCTCCTCAGAACACCTCACCCGGGACATATTCTTGCCAGACGCCCGAACCGTCTCAACTGGCTCCCTTCTGTCATGGTCCTGAGTTTGGTGACCCAGTGTTTGTTTTGGATTATTGACATGCTTTATTTCAGCGAGTTCTGACCATCTGATCTAAAGTGTGTGTGT